TGATTATTTTTTTTCTTTTCTTTTATGTAAAGCACTTTGAATTACCATTGTGTATGAAATGTGCTATACAAATAAACTTGCCTTGCCTTGCCTTGCCTTGTCTGGTTTATTTCTGTCTTTTATCTATTCATTTTATTTTTTATCTCTCTTTAGGGTGGGCTCTCACCGTGTTATTCTTGGAGAACATAATCGTGGCTCCAATGATGAACCCATCCAGATCCAAATAGTTTCCAAGGTAACAAAGTTTCATGATCTCAGTGGATCAAAGATATTGAAATTGAAAAAAAAGAGACAAATTGATATTGATTTTGTTCTGGCCAATATTAATTACATACGGAATACAGCCAGAAATAATTTTTAATTGATGTTTTATTACTGTGTTTTTAAAACATAATAATAACCAAGTCATCATTACACTACAAAAACATATCCATTATAAATATTTTAGTAGTAGGAGTATGTCCTGTAATTTAAGAAAAGGTGTGATCTAAAAGGTTGCAAAATGATTTTAATCTTTGTTTTAGATTTTATTATTGTTATTGTTTAATTGGAATTCACATATTTCTCATTTGTGATTGAACTGACATAATTTAAAAGGTTAAACAGTTGTGTTTTTTTTAATCAGTGAACTCAATATTACAGTTGAAAAGTGTGCAAATTGGTAAAAATATCAGTCAACATGTCTTTTTCTAATTGAAGTTTTGAGGTATAAATGTATGCTATTGTATTCCTAAAACCTGCCAAAATAAACTAACGTTTAACAACAAAATACACATTTTTTACAAAAATAAAATTCAGTACAGGAAAGAAAACATCCGAACCACATTCTAAAAACACAGGGTGTAAGTAAATGCTTAAATTAATATCAGACGGGTAATATCAGACAAGTCCTCTGCTCAATCTGACTTGAGTTGCAGCCTGGAATTAAACCAGACCATGCTGGTTTCGTCTGGCCAGACAAGACTTGTCCCCCTAGCCTTGTTTCTCCCAAGGTTTACTTTGCTCCATTTCTGTCACCGACGAAGTTTTAGTTTTTTTTTCTTTATTTACAAGAAGAGCAACAACAAAAACAACAACAAAAAACATACATTAACAGTCGTCTTCAGAGGCATCGTAGTAAAAAAACATACTGTCACAGTCGAAATCAAAGCAATTGCCAGGAAAAAACAAAAAATATTAATGATAATAGTAGTAATAAATAATTAAATAATAAAAAAGAAAAATACAACAGGTGGAGGCACCCAGAAATATGTTCACCTCAATTCGGTCCATGTAATGCCATGCAGTCCGTTCTTCAACATCCAACTCAAACTGTCTCCCAAGTGGGAGAGAAAAGGGTGCCAAGTTTTGTGAAACTGAAATAGTTTTTAAGGAAAAAAAACTCAATGCTTCAAATGGAATAATGTCCAATACACTCTTAGTCCACTGTGTCTTTGTTGGTGGTTTTTCAGAAACCCACTGCTGCAATATGCAGCGTCTGGCAGTAAATAACATTTTGAGCAGCTGAATCTAAGAAGAGCTCCAGGTGTTATATGAAAGAATCCCTAAAATACACACCAGTGGGTCAAGGTCCAGAGAGATTCCCATTAAGACATGCCATTAAGAATGCCTTAACAGTCAATAATACACTCAAAATATGTACCGTCTTCCCTTTTACACTTAACACAGGTCTTTGATGTATGTAAATTGAAAAGCTGCTGAATTTATTTATCTATCCTCTATCCTGTCAAAAGCCTTCTCAGCGTCGAGAGACACCACCAGTGATCCAACATGAACATTTTGTCCATGCTATACAACATTCAAAAAGCATTGCATATTATTACAGGAATTTCAGCCTAAAAAAAAAATAAGTCTGATCAGTGGAGATTACATGAGAAAAGGGGCTGTAGAAGAAGTACCCCTCACATTTGTTTTTTGTATTTTGTTGTGCCCAAAAATGATGGCGGTTTACGTCTGATTTTGGACTTGCGTCGCCTAAACCTTGCCCTCAGAGTGAGCAAATTCAAGATGCTGATGTTAAAATGCATTTCATCTCATATCTGAACCAAAGATTGGTTTGCGATTATCGATTTAAAGGATGCGTACCTTCACATCCAGTTCTGGCCCACTCAGACGTAGTTCTTGGAATTGGTCAGTCTGCTAGCCGGCCCCACTTGGGAGGTTCTCCTCAGACACGACCTGCTGACTCAGTCTCGGGGCATGATTTAGCATCCTCGACCGGATTTGTGGAAGTTATGGGTGTGGCCCCTGAGTGGAGTGCATTAATGTGTTCTGGTCTCTCGGCGGAGATTACCAACATTATTCTTAATTCTAGGGCTCCCTCCACGAGACACTTGTATGCCCTTAAGTAGAAGCTTTTTGCCTCCTGGTGTAGGCAACGCAATCTTGACCCAGTCCATTGCCCTGTAGGCTCAATACTGGAGTTTCTTCAGAGTCATTTTTCTAAGGGGGTGGCCCCTGCCACCTTTAAGGTTTATGTGGCAGCCATATCTGCTGAGCATGTACCCATGGGAGGTGTTTCTGTTGGACGTCAACCTCTGTGGTTTCCCATTTCTTGCAGGGGTGCATCTGAAGTTCTATGTCGACCGCACAGCTCAGTGGCGTGGATCTGACCAGTTGTTTGTATGTTTTAGTGATAAAAACAAAGGGACTGCCATCACCAAACAGAGAATGTCTCATTGGATAGTGGAGGCTATCTCTATGGCCTATGAGGTGCGTGGTTTGACTTCGCCTCTAGGGGTGTGTGCTCATTCAACAAGAGCAATGGCTTCTTCTCAGGCTCTCTTTAAGGGCTCTTCCTTGGAAGATATTTGTGCTGCGGCAGGATGGTCCTCTCCTAGCACTTTCATCAAGTTCTACAGTCTGGATGTAAGGACAGCTCCTGGCTCCCAGGTTTTGTTCGCTTGAGCAGATGCTTTCCTTGGTCTTCCAGCTATCATCAGGTACATGAAGGTGTTATGGTATATTGTTCCCATAGTAATGATGTCATCGCAGCATTGAGTGAACCTATGAAAGGGAACATCTCGGTTACGTACGTAACCTTGGTTCCCTGAATAGGGAACGAGATGCCGTGATGCTGGCCGTTCCTGTACCTTCGATAGCACTTCCTATGTAATGTGGAAATCTGATGAATTTGCACATACCATGCTGCTATGAGCATATGTGACGTATTCTTGGGGCGGTGCTAAGTGCTATTGGCCAATGAGTTGGCATGAAGGTATAAGGCCTTCAGACATTCGTCACACCAAAGGTGTTTCCCATAGCAATGATGTCATCGCAGCATCTCATTCCCTATTCAGGGAACCAAGGTTACATATGTAACCGAGATGTTTTCTGTGAACGTGTGAGACTTCCGGTTCATTAGCCGCCATAGGGAAATAACGAGAAGAATAATAAAGTGCAGTAAATGGTAAAACTGTTTGCACTACAAGCCAGTGTGTTCATAATTAAGATAATACATTTAAATAGTACGGTAAGACACACCAATTTGCAATATCAAGCAAAACAAGCAGTTTTTTACATCTAAAAATAACTGGAAGCATGGCACCACTGGAAGGATGACACCAGAAGCCAGACACATTAAATTAACAAATGGCAGCAACCGCTCTTACGGGAAAAATTAGGTGGATAGTGTAGCTTCATTTTTATTTGTGCATTTTAATATTTATGCGTGCATAATACAAAAAGAACAATGATACGTAAAAATAATATTCTGATGATAAGTAAAAATGATAATATACAATGAAATATAAAGGAAATATAAAAAACCTTTATATTTCCTTTGTATTTCGTTGCATTTACAATATTTTGAGCAGCAGGTGCTGCCAGAATGTGGTGTTTCAGGCACTTCGAAACAGTAAATCCTTTTGTGAAACATTGGTTCAGTTGATTAAGAGCTTCAAAAATATTTGTTTTCCTCTAATTTGCTTGGAAGTGTGCCTGAATGAAACAACGAAAGAGAAGTTTTCACAGGTTTCTCAGAGGTTATGTAAAGTACTTAAGATTGTATTGTCTTCTTGTATGAGGAGGTTTGAGGGACAAAAGCCCTATCTGAATTGTGAAAAACTGAACCCATTACTTTATATTGTAGACATACCATGTAAACATGATTCAAACAAAATAAAGCTGTCTATAGCATTTTATGGATTATAATGATTTTTAAAAATCTGAAATCTTATCAAACTAAAGACCAGGGTTTTGTATAGTAAAGGCAAACTAGCCTTATCTTCCACACACAAATATAACACGTATAACCAATGGACAGAGTGCTGATTACAAACAAACAAAGAAACAAAAATTAATACTAAAAAAAAAGAATAAACCAACCTAATATATAAAATGTGTCAGCAGTATGTAACAAGCATTACTTTTATTTGTATCAGTAACGAAAAGCAGTTTACCGTATTATGTTTTCTAGAAAATAATGTAAAAAATGTAAGTGATGTTGCAGAAAAGCACACAAGTTCGTAACACTCTTACTTTAAAGAACTTGTTTGACCAGTTTATTGTCGTTAATTTTATCTTAAGTGGTGTTAAAGAAACCTTTTTAGTATCACTGTCTTGCAACGGCTTGCCAAGGTTGAATACGTGACTAGTTAATGTCAAAGACTTATTGGGAAAGCAGTTCTTTTACTGCAAGTATAGCATGATAAATTGACTGAAATTTCAACACAGCAACAACAAACGCTACTTCTAATCCAAAACAATCAATGACATCATAACATACAATGAGAGAGTTGAAATCATGATGCTTCTCAAGGAAATAGTCAGAAGACTTAAAGCCTTCATGAGGTCAAACAACGGAGAATTCATCATGTTTGCACGTAAAACATCAGCTCTGGACAATGAAGATAAAAACGTTCCTCAGCTATGAGCTCACTGGATCTGATGGGATGGACCTCCATCACGTCTCAGATTGATCAGCTGCTGTAAATAATATAAAAGCAAGAGAGAGCACCTACAGATACATCAGTGAGATACATCACACACTCATCTACATCATGACCTTCACCATCTTCTCCATCACCTGCCTTGCCCTGGTGGCCTCTGCTCTGGGTAAGTGTCTCCTTTAATTTGCAAGAATAATGATGGACAATAGAGAAAATGCAAAACCTAAATTAAGAGTCCCCTGCCTCATGAATAATGTGTTACATTCTGTAATAACAGGTTGTGGAGTACCTGCGATTAAACCACAGACGATCGGCAGCAGGATTGTGAACGGACAGAATGCAATCTCTGGTTCTTGGCCCTGGCAGGTCTCTCTTCAGGTAACTCATCTGTTTTTCAAACACACATTTGTCTGCTTTGTTTAAAGAGTAAATTTCATGTTTTCAATGCTTTTACCTTTTGAACAGCACCCCAATGGTTTCCACTTCTGCGGAGGATCCCTGATCAACGAGAACTGGGTTCTCACTGCTGCCCAATGCGCTGTCATGTAAGATTCTTTAATCTGACAAACATCACATACATTAATGGTTCATAAATACTCTGTCTGGTTTATTTCTGTCTTTTATCTATTCATTTTATTTTTATCTCTCTTTAGGGTGGGCTCTCACCGTGTCATTCTTGGAGAACATAATCGTGGCTCCAATGATGAACCCATCCAGATCCAAATAGTTTCCAAGGTAACAATGTTTTATGATCTCAGTGGATCAGAGATATTGAAATTGAAAAAAAGAGACCAATTGATATTGATTTTGTTCTGGCCAATATTAATTACATACGGAATACAGCCAGAAATAATTTTTAATTGATGTTTTATTACTGTGTTTTTAAAACATAATAATAACCAAGTCATCATTACACTACAAAAACATATTCATTATAAATATTTTAGTAGTAGGAGTATGTCCTGTAATTTAAGAAAAGGTGTGATCTAAAAGGTTGCAAAATGATTTTAATCTTTGTTCTAGATTTTATTATTGTTATTGTTTAATTGGAATTCACATATTTCTCATTTGTGATTGAACAAACATCATTTAAAAGGTTAAACAGTTGTGTTTTTTTTAACAAGTGAACTCAATATTACAGTTGAAAAGTGTGCAAATTGGTAAAAATATCAGTCAACATGTCTTTTTCTAATTGAAGTTTTGAGGTATAAAATGTATGCTATTGTATTCCTAAAACCTGCCAAAACAAACTAATATTTAACAGCAAAATAAACACATTTTTTACAAATATAAAATTTAGTACAGTAAAGAAAACATCCGAACCACATTCTAAAAATACAGGTTGTAAGTAAATGCTTACGTCTTTATTTACCTTCTAAAAAGTCAGCTCTCACTACTAACTGATCATCCGTCTTGTATGTATATGCAGGTCATCACCCATCCGCTCTACAACAGGGCAACCTTCAACAATGACATTGCTCTGCTGAAACTATCGTCTCCAGTCACATTTACTCCCCGTATCTCTCCTGTATGTCTGGCTCCATCAAACACCAACATCGTGCCTGGAACCCGCTGCTTCACCACTGGCTGGGGCCAGACTGCCAGCACAAGTCAGTCAGCTGTGAAACAAAAAGAGAATAAAAACACATCTGTTTATTGTGCAATGCAATGTGTCATGATTTCTTCTCTTTTTTAGCGAGTCCTGAGATTCTGCAGCAAACAGTTTGGATCGACATGACTATTTCTTCCAACTAGATCATCAGTCTGAATATTTACTTTCTGTCTTTGATTCCCTGTTGGTGGTCTTTTTGTTTATGGGTTTGGGTCAGTCAATGACTTCATGCTGAAATCTGTGACTTCATACTGTTTTCCTGTTTCAGCTGTACAGATAATGAAAACGTTTCAATAAATGAGATGAGTAAAATAATAGCAATGGAGAATGTTGTAGAGTGTAATTAATGACATGTAATATCAGACGGGTAATATCAGACAAGTCCTCTGCTCAATCTGACTTGAGTTGCAGCCTGGAATTAAACCAGACCATGCTGGTTTCGTCTGGCCAGACAAGACTTGTCCCCCTAGCCTTGTTTCTCCCAAGGTTTACTTTGCTCCATTTCTGTCACCGACGGAGTTTTAGTTTCTTTTTTTCCTTTATTTGCAAGAAGAGCAACAACAATAAAAAACATACATTAACAGTCATCTTCAGAGGCATCGTAGTAAAACAATCATACTGTCACAGTCGAAAGCAAAGCAATTGCCAGGAAAAAACAAAAAATATGAATGATAATAGTAGTAATAAATAATTAAATAATAAAAAAGAAAAATACAAAAAGTGGAGGCACCCAGAAATATGTTCACCTCAATTCGGTCCATGTAATGCCATGCAGTCCATTCTTCAAAATCCAACTCGAACTGTCTCCCAAGTGGGAGAGAAAAGGGTGCCAAGTTTTGTAAAACTGAAATAGCTTGTTTTTAAGGAAAAAAACTCAAGGCTTCAAATGGAATAATGTCCAATTCACTCTTAGTCCACTGTGTCTTTGTTGGTGGTTTTTCAGAAATCCACTGCTGCAATATCCAGCGTCTGGCAGTAAATAACATTTTGAGCAGCTGGATCTAAGAAGAGCTCCAGGTGTTATATGAAAGAATCCCTAAAATACACACCAGTGGGTCAAGGTCCAGAGAGATTCCCATTAAGACATGCCATTAAGAATGCCTTAACAGTCAATAATACACTGAAAATATGTACCGTCTTCCATTTTACACTTAACACAGGTCTTTGAAAATGTAAATTGAAAAGTTGCCGAATTTATTAAAGATTTGAATAATTCTATCTTTGGAAAACTCAAGAGCTCGATCACTGGAGCAAATACATGACAGAGGCTTGCGGTTACGTATAGAGCAGCATTACCCATCTTATAAGATTGTTAGCAAGGTTAAATTTGCCTAAAACCCAGAAAAGATAGGGCCACTCTATCCTGTCAAAAGCCTTCTCAGCGTCGAGAGACACCACCAGTGATCCAACATGAACATTTTGTCCATGCTATGCAACATTCAAAAAGCATTGAATATTATTTTAGGAATTTCAGCCTGGAAAAAAAAAAGTATCATCAGTAGAGATTATATGAGGAATTACAGCTTCTGACCTTTTAGACAAAACATTAGCAATCACCTTCCTGTCTAAGTTTAATAAAGACATTGTTCGGTAGGATAAACATTCTTCTGCTTTTTTTTATTTTATTTTTTTAGAATGAATTAGCCTCCAACATTGAATGTGGCAAGCTGCCTGTGTCAAAAGAGTGAGACAGCATTCTAAGTAAAGGAGGGACTAGAAGATCTTCAAATTCTTTATAGAACTCTGAAGTAAGCCCATTGGGCTTATTTACATAAGTAATTTACGTTATATAGTAATATAAGTTAATTTACATTAACTTCTTCTTCAGTCACATGCAGGCTTGTTAAGCAACTCTTTCTTTTCATCTGAGATTCTGGGTATGTTCAGGCCACTCAAACTCAACTAAAGAGTATACCTCTGACCTGTACAGCTTCTCATAGAACAACTGGAAAATCATATTAATCTCCTTATTACTGTATACTTTCTGTCCGGATGAGTTTTCGAATTTTGGTTCCTTGCCACAGTAACCTTTGACACTATTTAAAGAGAACTGAACTGAGCTGGATGGTGACATCTATTTTACTGTTTACTATTGTCTTCCTGCATTACCAACACACTATGTTCCTGTTTAACATTGTATAGCTGCTTTGGCACAAACTGTATTGTTTAAAGTGCTATATTAATAACGTTGATTTGACTTGACATGAACTTGAAATAATTAACTTGTAATAGGGATAAGTTGCCATAATCCAAATAAAACAATGCAGAAAAATGCCAAAATAGATCCAGAAAGATCCAAGGTGAAGAAAAAGAAGATATAAATCAATCCTCTATCCATGGTGCTGAAATTTTTGGGGTGTACATACAGTTTTATACTTGTACATAACATTTACAAACTGATACCGCTTATAAAGCAATTTCATGGCATATGAAAGTCACATCATGACACGCTGAAAACCTTCCTTTAAAAGCCAATAAAGAAGCTCAATCTGCTTAGTCAGTACATTTTTGCTAAAGCCAAGTACAAAACATTCTCTCATGCAGTGCTGAATAATTCTGATTGCTTCAGATTTGCACTTGACTGAATGATTTACGATGCCTCTTTCTGATGACTGTCTATTAGCCAACTTAAACTTAGTGACTTGGTTACTAGGTGAAACTGTCATTTGTCAGATGCACAAGCTTGTAAGAGATTTTAAGAAAAGTATTTTGGAGTTTTACTGAAAAAATAACCTATGACATTATTAAACAGAAAATAAAATAAGCTATTTATTATGAAAGCAAAAAATTAAATATAATAGGTATTATAATGCTGTTAACCAAAAACATTAAAAATCTTTTAAATTTGTTAACTGAAATAAATTAAATATAAATATTAGATGAAAACCTTGTTTAAAAAAATGTTTCCTTGCAACTAACTAAAATAAGTTGAAGTTAAAGTACTAAAATTAAGACTAAAACTGATATAAAAATAAACTTAAGCTAAACAGAAATGTTTAAAAATAATAATAAAATGAAAACAAAACATGCAATTACTAAAACAAATTAGAAAATGTACATTTTATGTACATTTAAAAAATAATAGCTAATTCAAAATATTGAAAAGTAATAATAGTATACAAATAACACAACATTAACACTATTGCACCTAAACGTGAATGCCCCTAAATGTGCACTAAAAATAAGACACTTTTTTTTAAAACAATCAAATGAAAAAAAAAAAAAAACCTTTGTTATTCTTTGTTATATCCAGAAAAAGGCATCAAACTATTGCCATTGTTCTGTAATAGTGCACACAATGGTAATTGATAATGGAAAAATTCTTTCTGCCCCAAAACAATGGCGTTAACAAGAAGGAAATGTCAACCATAAAACGAACTTAGCCTGAGAACAATAACCTTTTGCCTGTTCCTGGTATTCAGGATTATGATTTACTTACAGTGCAACAGTCTGGCAGATCCGGGTCTAGGCGAGTTGTGTAGACCTTTGTCCATTTTTGGTGATGCATGTTTTGGTGATTCATGACCTGGCTGTGACGTCACATTACTGGTTTCCTGTTTCAGTTGAGCAAATAATGGGGGAAAAAAGCATGACTAAAATATAAATGACAAATCTACAAGAATAATGTCATGAGTGTACACTGAAGTGAACTGAAATATACTTGTAGAAATAAATCTTATGCCCACTTTGCTCCTGATTAACCACTAGAGGTCGGTAATAATCTATTTAGAAACTGAACCTTGACTATGATAAACATGAGACCAGGCTTGAATATGGCAGGCAGGGGTTTGCAGGGCCCCCGTGCAGGTTTTTACCAGTGGGCCTTGTTTGAAATTGTTTCATTTGTATGTTCGTTCTATTTATTTATTTGTGCTATTTACACAATGTTTAAGTTTTTTCAAGTTTGTAGGTGTCCAGGTACAGAAACCGAATAATCAAATGTAAAATAGCACTGCATAGTCTTCACTGTAAAAAATTAAATATACAGTCAAACCAAAAATTATTCAGACTCCTTCAACATGTCTCACATTATTTGCTATAGTTTAGAACATTGTATTAAAATATGACAAGAACTCGGAGTTAAACTATCAGAACACATTCAGCTTGATAATGTCAGATAACTTTGATAGAAAGGTATGTAATGGATTACAATCAACCAAAAATTCAGACAACTGTTAGTATGACAATATTTACACAACTATCAATACTTTGTTGACCAATTACCAAGAATTGCTTCATTTTGTTCAGTCTTTGGTGTAAAAAGGTCACATTAGCAATTAAAGAAAAAACG